ATGTTCACTTAGAGGCCATGGTTACGACTGGAGTGTAGGACAGTAATGTAATGCGCCAATCGGCGCCACTGATATAATCACTGTCGAGCACTGGGAGAGGGCTGTTGCCAATTCCACGAATGTGAGAGCTTTAGGTGGTATCCGGAAAGAAGTCCAGTGGTGTACAGGCTGTTCAGGAGTTCAGGGTGAGAATCCGGGAGAAGAGGAAGTTCTAGGCAGAGAGTACCCGGCGGCACAATATATCAGGGCAGAATGCTTCGAATAAGAAGTCCGTGCCGAAGATTAGCTCGTGAGGGCGATTTTCAAGCATCGTAAATAAAACAGGGACATGGTGGCCGGCAATGCTAACACGAGCGGTACACATTCCTAGTGATGGCCACAGTTTCACCATAAGCGACACGGAGGGCTTTAGTTGCTGCAGGCGTGAGGACTTTATTGAGTAGGCAACACAGATGAGCACTCATTATGACCACTTGAGCTCCGGTATCAACTAACACCGTCAAAGAAATACTGTCCACGTACACCTCAATTAAGTCGCAATTGATGCAACACTACCTCCTGGAGCTGCATGATCTAGGTTTCCGTCCTAGAGGATCCATAGTTGACCGGCGACGGATAGCGGCGTGGTTGAGGCGATGGGGAACGGTGGCGTTGAGGTGACAGTGAACGAGCAGTAGAGTGGCTGTTAGGGACGTCGGAAGAAGTGTACACACGACTGGGCGAAGACCGACGGAAGTCCTTGTATGGGCGAGAAGAGGAAAATAGGCTCTAGTTTGAGGGCGTCCAAATTCTGCGGCAGTAGCGGGAGATATGGCCAACTCGGTGGCAGCAGAAGCAGATCGGTTTGTTGTCTGCAGTTGTCAATTCCGTCGGATTGCGGGATCACGGAAGAAAATGTGTAATGGCATGATGCATTTATTGTCATTGGTCTGGAGGCAGATCGGAAGACAGAGCAGGCCACAGAAAAACCAAGCTTTGCAATTTCCTGCCTCATGACGGCTTGAATAATGATGACCATCGGAAGCGTTTGTGCAGCGCCATAGTTGAGTGGAAGTGGAGGAAATGATGCGGCACTTGAGGCTTCAAGCTCCCGTCGAACTATACGTGTCACGCTGTCCTGCATAGGTGGTGCGGCACCGAGATCAGTGCAGGTTGATGTAACAGCCGTGTTAGATAGCCACTTAAATTGAGGCAGAACACGGCGGCTTTTGGCCATTTCGAAGCGGCGGAATTTCTCAATATACGTATCTACGATCATGACATTTATGTACACGAGCAACTTGAAGGCGTCATCAGCGATGCCCTTGAGTATGTGGCCCGCGTTATCACTCTCTGTCATTTGCTCGTCCACTTTCCGGCACAACGCGAGCACGTCCTGTATGTACGAGACATATGACTCAGTTGAGGACTGCACACGAGTGGCGAGTTCTTTTCGAGCTTCCATTTGGCGACCAGACAGGTTCCCAAAGATGTCGCGTAGGCGCCCCTTAAAGATATCCCAGCTGGTGAGCTCGGTCTCATGGGCGTTGAAGCAAACACGTGAGGTGCTGTCCAAGTAAAATTTTACCTTGGCGAGCGTCATGGTAGGGTCCCATCGGTGTGTCTGGCTAACACGCTCGTACATACGGAGCCAGCAGTCAACGTTGAGTCTAGGTTGTGCGGAAAATGTACCGGAATCATGAGGATAGGGCATCTTCAGGTATGTAGTGGCTGGAGCTACAGATGGAGACGCTGAAGGGCTGTTGTTATTGGAAGCCATGGCGGGAGACTCCACGGTATGGCCACTGCTAAGCTTCGTGGCGAGGACGAGGAACGTTCCACCTCCACCAAATATGTTACAGAAATGAAGAGATGCTGTATCGACGAGGCTGTGGATTCGATGCATTTGAAATGAGCGGTAATGGCGTGACCAGCTTGACCTAGTGATCGTGCGGAGACAACCCTTCGTCTTCCTCACCAGGCACACACGCACGTCATCCCCTAGAATATCAATATGCATGCATGTAGCAATGTGTTCATTTGAAGAAGCCCTGCAACATTTTTTAAAGTAGCCATAGAATGGAGTCACTAAAGAAGCTTATTGCCTCACGAACTGCGCCGCCTCAAAAATTTTTAAGATCCGTCCAGTACGAGTAAAGTTGCGAAGATTTATCACACGCTGCAATTGCATTTTCTCTTCTCACATCCTGGCAAAATAGTTGAAAAGCTAAGCAGGGAACGATGGCACGGGGAAAGAAAACACGTGTGATAGAAGTGGCGTCCTCTCGCGGCAACCCCAGTAACGACCGAGTGCGCTACGCTCAAATCAGCCATTGGCTGATACAACAGCTGTGATGAGTTATTTTTGAGTTCATGGTGTCATTCGCCCAGAGAAGAGAGCAATTTTCAGTTGATTGAAAATTCGATGTGAATTGCAGGCCACGTGCTGCGCCATAATATTTGGCTCACGTGTTTTCAGTAGCCATGACCACAAATAACCAGTGTTTTTTGACCATGCTCAAAAAGTGCTGCAAAGCCCCTTGAAATTTGAAGTGGGGCCAGTGATGTTCCATACTATGCCGAAGAGTTCCCATTCAGAGATATGAAAATTCCCTATTTTGGGGATTTTCCCCTGCAATCGTTAACAAAATTCCCATGCAAATTTCCTGCACAATAGTACTAATCTCTGCCCGCATACACGTGCACACTTACCATAATTACTACATGTCTGACGTACTGGCGACTTTTGAAATCATGACTAGTCTCTCCACCGCATCCACAACAAAAGCATGACTTTATTCATATTTTCGTGTTTGTAACCCCTCCTGCTGTAACGGCCTCCGGGCAAAGCGGGGTTATGCATGAATAAAGAATATAGTGTTAGTACACTGCACATTGTGGTCTTCAGGTCTAACAACACTAGTGAACTAGAAATTGCTCCGCGTAAATTTCAGAAACAAATCTGAATAGGCTATGCTTCGTGGTGCATGCGTCAGAACCGAATACAGCAGATGAAGGCGCACTGTGATCGCTAATTAAGGGTCGTCATAGAAGAATTTAACTATTGCTGATATTCCCTGCAATATCACGAAGATTCCCTTTTTCTCTTTGGCTCAAAATGACAGGTGAAAAATTCCCTGAAAAAGGAAACTATTCCCTGCGCAAAACATTACTGAGTGGAGCTTTGCAGCAGAGCGAATTTCCCTGAATAGGTGCTTTCACGGCTTAGCTCTGTACACTGTAGTGAAACCATCTTTACAAGTGGTTACATGCAGACTGATGCACACCTATTCGTTCATTGTGAATACTTCGCAATTTTCAATAATTCAAATTCGAATCGAAGTGAATTCACATACTCTACTATTCATTCGAATATTCGAAGCAATCGAATATTAGCACAAGTCTACTGTATGGGTTATTTTCATGTAAGATTTTCGTGTGAGATGCAACTTTGTTATATTGAGGTTTGAGTGTGCAACTTTTTCAACACCACACACGACTCCTTGCAATAACCAAGTGTTGGTATCTATGAACTTGGGGCTCATCAAATTAAAGAAAGTTTCTGCAGTGAACATCGGCCCATAAGACAATGGCTACACTGGAAAAAGATACTGAAATTGAAATTCTTTTTTTGCCAAAACTTCAGCAAGCAAGAGTTTTTTCTTTTTTTCTCTGAAGACAGATGTTGCTGGTATTTTTTTCTCTGAAGACAGATATTGCTGGTACACACGACGCTATTTTAAAATTCGCGTAACCATGACATATTCCAGTCCATACTCATCCGAAATGGAAGCTTTGAGTGCGCTGTAAAATTTTTTTACTGTACCAGCCAAAAATGACTGAGCAAAATGAATTAGAGTAGAATAATTACAATGACCCCAAATACTTATTTCAGTGTAAATGAGCCCAGCTCATCTTGGGCAGAGAAAGGGTTAATATGAAGTGTAACAGCACAGCAGTGCTGATTCTCCCAGAATCTGCAGTTTCATGGCATAGCAGCACCTGCTACAATAAAACGACCTCTTCAGGCAGGTTAGATTAGGTCATTTTGAAAACTCTGAAAATTTGAGAATTTTAAATTTGCGTCAAAGTGAGTCTGAATGCTGTAATATTTCTGTAAATATTCAAAGAGCTTTAATATTCTCACAAGACCACTGAATAGCATTTTAAACTACAAATAAAATTAATGGTTGGAACAACAGAAAGAAATCATTCCCAATGCACTCCATACAAATGATTAGGTGGAAAAGCTGAAACATATGGCCCTAGAGTTTATCGCAGGTTTACTAAATCTTGAAAATTCATTGAAGGCTGTGTTCCAATTCTTAGACAGCCCATAGACAGTCTACGCAGATACCGTAGCTTAGAAGACAGCGCCAAGCCCATGCTGCCCAAGAAATTAAACACGTCTGGACGTCTTCTATGCGACGAGGTGCCACGTTGCATCGAGAGGAGAAAGCTAAAGTAAACAAATGCAACTGTTGTATTTTCTGGCTAATTTTGTGCTGATATCTAAAAAAATCAAACAGTACTCACATTGAATGTCTGTAGAACCGTCTGCTAGTTCCGGCGAGATCTCATCGATCAGAGCGATTCACTGAGCCACCATATGTTTGGACAGCAAAGTAGCCTGCATCGTATTTGTCTACGATGCAGTCTTTTCGGAGCTGTCTATTTTGCTGGCTACGTGAGAATTGGAATGGGACTTAAGATGGCCGCCGTCCATTTAGCTGTCAATTCAGCCGTCTACGGTGAGTATTGGAACACACCCAAAGTCATCTTCAATTATTGGCTACGTCTGTCTATAATCTTGATTGGCATTTGCCACCCCTGTATTTCCTCCCTCTTTTTGAGCGAGTATTGGGGCTTGTCCAATCTCTGTGTTGTGGGTTTTCAAGCACATAAAAAAAAAATTTCGTTTGACCTAGCCGTAACCAGCTACACCGTATAAAAAGTCTCCTTTAATGAGCTTACTTTCCTTTACTGGAGATCTGGCCCATGCACAGACAGTGTACACATACCTGTGAGCCACGATGAGTGTCGTTCTATTCCGGCAGACGAGATCGAGAGATGCCTGAATGTTGCGCTCGGTCCGTGTGTCCAGCGCTGACGTGGCCTGTTGGAAACAAGTGTGCAGTTATAATTGACTCACTGTGTCTCCCTTTTACAACTCCGTAGAGAGTAATGTATTCCGACAGAGCATTGATATTAGGTGCTTCCGCAGTAATTTTAATGAGCTAAGAGTGGAAGCATTCTTTTTTTTTTTTACACTGGCCTCTAATGACACTTCACGGTGAACACCAAAAAGTATATAGTTTGAGGGGTTTTGTGAGCCGGAACCACGATATGATTATGAGGTGCGTCACAGTGAAGAGCTCCAGAAATCACGACCATCAGAAGTTATTTAACCTGAACCAAAACCTAACTACAATAGCCTCAAGCACGTCTCGTCTATCAAAATGCGACTGCTGCAGCTGAGATTGAACCCACTACTTTCGGGTCAGCAGCCGAGCCTCGCAATCACCGTACCATTGCATCAGCAACACCAGAAAGAAAAAAAGTTACGACAGCATTGCAATAGCGGTGCGAAGCCTGACGCAAGTGCAGAGCTGGCAAACCTTCTTTGTTTCTTTCTCCTTTTCTCTCTTTCTGTTCTTTTTTTTTTCTCACATAAGTTCTAATCATTTCCTTCTTTCTCTCACTCTATGTATTTCTCTCTCTTTCTGCACTTCCTTTCTCACTCTATTTTTTTTCCTTTTCTAGATTTGTTCCATTCTTAATCAGTCTATGCTATGCTTGCTTCTCCCCCATCCTCTCTTTTCTCCTCCTCACCCCAAATCTCTCCATCTCATTTCTCTCTCTCACTTTCTTGTTTCATAGTGCCTTTTTCTCTTTATTTCTCTCTGCTTCCTCTTTCTTCCCTTTCCATTTCTCTCTCTCTCTCTCTTTCTTCCTGTCTCTTTATTTCTCTCTTCCTCAATCTATGCTATGCTTATTATCTTATTGGCTCCTATTTCGTGTTGTTAGCATTTTCGTGACTTTTTCTTAAAATGCACCTTTGCGAGTTCTACGGGCCTTGTGCATGCATCATCAATGAGCAGCAGACATTCTGCGACATTCACTCATGCAATGACGACCTTGGCAGTTAGGACTAATTGTTGCTGCTTCAGTGCCCGTCTGCTGCCACTATTATTGTCTAAAAAAGTTGTGATGCAAAAACTTTCTCAACTTTTGTTTTTCTACATAAAATGAAAGACCAAGCCCTAGTGAGCCCAGAATGTGTACCAGCAAGTATGAGCACATCTTAAAAAGTTAAATACATCTTTCGAAGCTGGTTTCAATTCCTAACATACCCTAACAGAATAACACGATATGAGTTTCTTCTGATTTGCTAGCACAAGGTATTTATTTATTTATTTATTTATTTGTTTATCATATACTGCGAACCATTTAAGGTCCAAGCAGGAAAGGTACAGCAAGTTCAAAGGTAAAATAAAAGTACAACAAAGTTACAACAAAATTGATACTGGTATACACGAAATGTAAGAAAAACATAGCAATCACCATCAAATTATACTCGATTCAGGTACAGTGATGTTTTCACTGTACTAGGTACAGTGATGTTTTCATAACCACTTGCATCGTGGCTCCGTTGGCAATGTACAAGCAGCCATTTTGTATGTTTTGGTATCTGATGTCATCAAAGCTAGCCGCTCTGGTGTGTGAAGTTGCCAGAATGAATACTGTTGGCTGACGTCAAACTAGTGTGAATGTCAGTAGGCGTAAAAGGCAAAAATTTACCTTAATATCAGAAGGAAAACCTTAAAATTTACTGAGTTCAATACTTGCTCACAGTCGAATTGATTAATATGCGGGGTTTAAATTGCTCATAGCCATATCTATGTACAAGAGATTTGTATGACGAAGTATGGCAAAGTAAACTTAGCTTCTAAAATTGATGACAACACCCAACTTGAAGCTATATATATCAATGTATTAGCAGTGACTGTACACCTCTCAAGAATAAAAAAAAGTCTCGCCGACAAGGAACAAAGTACAGGGCGCAACCAAGCCGAATGGCACAATTGTGCATTACATAATGGCACAATTGATAATGGCGTAATGGCATGGGCTATACGTGCAAGTTTTCATTCTGTTGGTTGGAGACGGGATTTGAATTACACGCAATAAGATATGGACAATTTTAAAATTTACCTGAATTAGCACACATAACTCATTCTAAAGCACATAAAAGTGAGGCTGTGAGTGATATGCGAACTTTGCCTTAAGATGTGGCTTCACAGCAAAAACCCTTGCACTTGAAGTGTAGCTTCACAGCAGTGTGTATCACACTGCAGTAAAACTACTTTTACAGGGTTTCTACACACAGCAAAATACCTACTATTTTTGTTTCACACAATTTGAAATGTTCGAATATAAGAACACTAACCAGAATGAAATATCACATCCCAATATTCTGTTAAAGCACACCGCAAGTTTGCACAAGCAAAAATTTCTTAAAAGACCACTGACACGTATTTTTTTTTTTGGCTTTCAAGTATTGAAGTGGGGGCTAAAAAAGTTTAGCACTTCACCTTTTACACAAAAAAGACATGTCGAGCACCACAATCCCGGAAGCACAAGTGTTCATAAGCATTCATAAGAGAAACATGGCAGACATGCTGCGGTCCAATTACCTCATCGAGTAGCATAATGGCTGGCCCCTTGAGGATGGACCTGGCAATGGCTACGCGCTGCTTCTCTCCACCAGACAGCTTCAGCCCCCTTTCGCCAACAACTGTGTCGTAGCCTTTGGGGAAGCCTAGGATCTGCTCGTGAAGCTCAGCTGCACGGGCGGCATTTTCGACCTCCTCGTCGGTGGCGTCGACTTTCCCGTACCTGATGTTGTACCTGCACAAGGAGAATGCTTGCATTCATCACATACGAGAAGTTTTCCATGGATAAAAGATGGTGGCATTTAATTTCACTGGCCTCATTTGCATGCAAGTTGGTATTGCAGAAACGTAGGGGACATATTGTCCCGTGGCAGCAGTCGGCGTGTCAAAGAAAACACTTCTTAGATATTTGGCCGAACTTTTGGCCCGGAAACTGAAAGTCATACTACAGCTACCTAGTTTCATTCGTTCATACCTTGCTTTGTTATGAGTACCCTTGTATGTATTTCAGAGTTATTTTATTATTAGCTGTGATGGGCCACATGTGTCGCTTTTCGCTGTTTGTGATATGTTGTAATTTCATAACTTAGTTTTTATGGGTGAAGGGGCCAGTCAAGCTGCGACATGCAGCCTTTTTCCCTTCGCCCCAAACCTCGTATACAATGTGTTTTATAGCGAAAGCTGTTATGAGATCAGAACTGGGGTCATGGGTGTCGTCATAGTTGTCCGCCTGCGCTGGTGTCCATAACCACTATTGCATGAAATAAGAAAAAAAAATAGTACGAAGGACACAGCACAGCTCGAACTTGGGTCTGCTGCATGCCAACCCAGTATTCTATCAGTGAGTCACGCCGCTGCTCGGGACTTGTTCACAAACTTGCCTTAGTAAGGCTTGATGTCGAAAAAAAAATCGCGTTAATATGAGTAATAAAGCATTTTAGAATAGCAAAAGAACAACCATGCGTCGCACAATGTGAATAGCGTAACGAGTGGGTCGTCCAGTGCTCCAACCCATTACAAAAGCTTGTTCTTGTTCCCCTACTAACTGTGGTGCACACCCGCTTTGGCCACTGCATGAACAATTGGCACAAAATTCCTTGCAAGTGTTTAGAGGATATCAAGCTTCTCAGAATAATGACGAAAAATATCATAGTGAATGCTGGTCTACTACCCAGAAATTATTATTAATGCCATAGTGGATTATCAGCAAGTGTGCTTGCAGCAGTTATTCAATGAGTGTTTAGAGAAGGCTCTGAAAGGCTGCTCTTCTACCTTTCGCTGTGACTGTGCTGCATCTTCCGCGCAAGCCTGGCCTTTTTTCCTGTATTTGTCACGTGGGTAAATAAACTCACTCAACCAGCAATACAAACTGGCGCTGGTGGCAGTGAACAGAGCATTGGCCATCAATAATTTGATCCACGGCCAAGCGTGTCATGCATTTATACGTGCGGCATTAGACATTTTAGAACTGGTCGTCGCATTTGTTCTTACGTCAACTCAGCAGTTCGCATTTGCATGCTCAAGCCTAACCAATGATGCCAAGGTAATCTGGAATGATCTCAGGCATTCTGGCACGATTTACGCAAAGCAGTATCAACACAGTGTAATGGGCCGGCAACATAAAAGACAGAAAGAAAGAAACGTGTGGCAATATAAACATGAAGAGCAAACAACAAAATTCGAAAGAACCATGAAACATGCAATAATTAGACACTTTAAGCAGTGCTACAATGTGAAACGATCTCATCCATACACATCAAGTCATCCCAGTAAAAATGCATAAAGATTTAATAGCTTTCACATTCACAACATTTCAGGAAGCTAACAAAAAACAAAAGAGGGAGGAAAGGAAAAAAAAGTTCACGAAAAGGGGCTGTAGGGCAACGGGTGGTGCATGGTTGTGACTTGTGCATTAAACACTACATGATGCATTTTCATTACATTAGCATATTTTTTCAGTAGTTCATAAAATTGACTCACCTGATGTCATTGTTGAATAGTACAGTGTCCTGAGGAACGACACCAATCACCTGTCGCAAGGACTTCTGCTTCACCTGTGTGTGAAAGTGTGGTGCTTTCTTGGGCCTCCTTACTCGAAAAAACTTAGACAGAAACTACGAGATTGCTGTGTGTTAATATCCTTACTACATGGGCCTGATGACCTCAGTTATGCACAAACCTCAGATAACTGGAATGAACTACCATTATTCCCAACTGCAGTTGACACCTGCTACACACAAAAAGTGGTGCTCGGTTCAGCATTGCAAAGCAGGTTACATGATACTCAGTTTTGTGAAGAAAAGTATGAAAATTCAGCCACTTTTCACAAGTATACTGGCAAACAAAGTGCATTCCCTTTACAATGACTCCTTCCCGTTAGCATCTGCAGTCCCTGAGCATATTTCTTCCTCAAGTGACCTGACAATGTTTGGAAATAAGTCTAGGCTGGTCTCACAATGATAGCTGAAGTCACTTTGTGGTCGGTGTGAAAGCCAAAGCAATCTGTTGCTTGATATGTTTGGTATCGCCTTGTCTGGTATCGAGATGTGCATTTGGTTTGTTTTGCAGAACCACTTCCTGTCATCAACAGCTCTATTGTTGAGCCAGACAAGATGACATGGCACAGGGTTTAGAGAAGACATTTCTGCCTTTGTTGAAACCATGCTGCCTCTGACTGCCATCATCAGTGCCACTATTTTGTTAGCTTCTTTCAAAGAGATGGTCAATCTCAGTTTTAAGCAACTATAGTTCGTGGGATAACTTCACTTATGCTTTCCGTCTAACTAGATTCAAGTACAGTTAGCTGGAAGAGATGTTGACCGTAAGTACGGTAAGCATGCCTTGTAGCTAGGAGTTTAAGATGCCTTTGAAGCTGGTTTTTTTTCATCACCAGAATGACAACAGAAAGACATGTACGTGAAATGAAACTGACAGTCAGTTCAATTAAATGTTAAAAACAATAAGCTAACGGTCAAAGTTAGTCAAATACTGTACTAATCACTAATCATTCGAATATTTGCACCTGCCAACTTTAAACCAAAAAGAATAGCATTTGCACAAGCCTTGTTTCTGTTTTTAATAAATAGTGTGCAGCTTCATTGGGTCAAGGCAAATATATTCATTTCACCTTTTAATACACGATATATACTATTGTAGTTCGATTTTAAATTATTAGGCCAATTTCAGTATTTGTTCCAAACTTGAAATTCAGTATTCGCACAAGCCTGGTGAATTCCTCAACCAGAGGTACTACTAGCGGATCATATCACACATGGCACCCTTCATGTCTCACTGTACACAGTCAAAGTAAGAGAGCTCCACAACATGATGCAAAAGGTCATCAGAACCACTCTGGGCCACTGCCTGCAGAGACATAACCGCTAGCATGTGTACGCAAGCATGCCGATAGCTTTGGAGATGACAATATATATTTCTAAGCACAGTCACAGTGAGTTCAGCATGCATTTGAGCATCCAGACGCATGCACACTGACCCTGCTGATGTCCTGGTCATCGATAGTGATGCTACCACTCTGTACGTCATACAGCCGGAACAGCAGCCGCACGATGGTGCTTTTACCCGCTCCGGATGGGCCCACCTACAAAACACAGAGATTCCATGCTGAGCTTGTTAGCCACACCTACCCCATTCACACATTTCAGCCGTTTCTTGTGTGAACCCTATCAGAGTGCTGGGCAGGAATTGCATATTCACCCTGTTATTTTCTCTGTGTCCTGTTTTCCACATGCTATGTCTCGCCGTGAATCTATACCATCTTGCTCAATACACTACTCTACTTCAATTACACATAACTCACAGAGTTATGAATGAGGCCGCATGTATTCAACTCGTACTGCTCTAAAGAACTTTAGCTGTTACTTATTACAAAAATTTCCCATAACACAATCAATATTACAAGTGATCAGAGGAGGCTTGTACAGCGGATTAATGCCTTATGATCTGGTCGCGGTCATTATTGTCTAATGATTGAATCTTCATAGATACATAAATAGTGGCTGATTGAATAAAGGGACATCTCAAAGCATAATTCTGCAAGTTGCGAAAATACAAATCTCAGTACAAAACTATAAAGCAGCTGCCGAGGCAGCTGCTACACAGGATGATGGTAAAACATGTAAATATTGATTCTCAGGCTGCTACATGTTGTTTGTTTTGCCTGAGCATCTACCAAAGAAGCAAACAAATTCAATTCAATTTTATACGCGACTCTCTAACTGCCACGAGTACATATATATGTATATACATTGTGTAAGCACATGATGTTGGTAGGCACAGGGTTTATTAACATTACCTAATTTAGAAGGCAAGCATTTCGCAAAACAACACTGCCTAATGTCAGTGAAGCTTCAAGGTATGTGACAGTGTGCTTGTAACGATAATGATGAAGCACAGCAAAACAGTGCAAACGAAGCAAGCACGTGAGCTGCAGTAATACACTAATAAGCTCTTGAACTTAAATGACGCAGCATGTTATTCCTTTTCGCCCCAGTAGTGACACTGCACCATGCAATAATCAATTCCAGAAACTTGCATTGGGAACCCAGTTCACATGGAGTCAACAAAACCTTGGCCCACCTATTGCCAATGCACTCCACCTGGAAGAAACTGCAGGGCACGCATTCCTGGAACTACTGCAGTTCCATGATATATGGCCTGGAGTCCCCGTTATTTGGCTTCTCATTATGGAGGATGGTCTTCATCGCGACGGCATCACCTCGCAGTAGCACAAGCGTGCGATAATGATAACCATGCTCTGTGGAGCTTTAGGTTTCATGTGACAGAAAAACTAAACAAGCAAGTCAGACAGAATTATTACTTAATAGAATTATTGTTTACTTTACCTGATTACTTTACCTGATAGATGACACTTTTTGCTCAAGTGTGCTCATTTAGAGCAAGAATTTGGCACCATCGAAAGGTGTGCTACAGATGAGACAGGTATGAATAGGAAAACTTTACAGCAAAAGGTAATTGAACTTTGTGCAATCTGTCCCTACATAACTGTGCAAAGCTTCAACTTGTTCCAGGCTCTTAGAACGCAGACCAGAAGAAATTATGTCTTCTGCTCGTTTCAGCAATGCCCTACTTGAGGTGACCTTTTCTTCCAAGTTCTTACGAAGTCGCTTTTCGTCGACATCAGCACCAGTGTCTTGGTCTCCAAGCCTTTTCCTGCTTTCTGACTGTTGTGCACTTGCAGTTCTCTCTGTGTATCGGGCTCTAGATCTCCTCACACTTTGCAGAAGCTCTGTAGACAAGGGAACTTTAGTGGCATCTCCATCATACCTGCGAAGGTATGTCTTTGTCTGGCGCAACCCGTTAATGCTTGCAATGCATAATGAGTAGCGGTTCTCATAAAAGCGCTTATTTTCGCTAAATCCTCGTTCGCAGTCTGCGTTGCCATGTGGCAGGCACAGCAGACACTTGACAAGCCTCGACAATAATGGACACTTTGGTTGACCTCCAGGAGACTTCAGTTCAAATATTTTGCCCCAACGAACATCAATTCTTTCACCTCCAAGTGCCAGGAGGTCACTGTTGGAGTCACACTTTAACATATGCCACTCATCGATGGCTGAGGAAACTTCTTCATGTTTGATTACCTGTGGAAGCTGAGACACAAGGTACTTCAGTGCTCGCACTTCCGATTCAACATTTGTTGACTGCCAATTGAGGAGGCTAGCAGATTGAAGATTTCTATTGTCGAGTGGAAGCTTCTGAAGAAGATCCTTGGCACAGGCCAAGTAAAAAGCACGTGCTCCAAGATAAAACCGCTTCTTCTGACTAGAGTCCCACTCAAGCATTGATTTTTCAGTATCTGTACCAACTTCCGGCCTCGATTTCCAAAGGGATGCATCCATCACATCTAGCCTTTTCAGTTGTTCAGCGCTCTTGTCTGCAAAGGCTTCATGCGAAGAAACCGACTGAGGACTCGTTGGACTAGAACAATAAGTTCAACGTGAAGTATGTGCAAGAACAGCTCTTGCTTTTGGAAGAGCAGCTGAACTCCACTGAAAAGCTGCGCACAGTTCTTAAGGAACAACACTTTGGCCAAAAGTTGTTTCTCAGAAAATGCCGACACAAGCTTGTTGTGTAGGCTTTGGGTGTCAAGTCGTTGACGAGATGAATTGCCCTTAAAAAAATAGGTGCGAAGCGCTTCAAACTGTTCCTCAACTCGGCAAAGTGAGTCTTGTAGCGTCAGCCAGCGATTAGAAACGTGGCGCAGAAATACATGACAAGAGATTCCCAAAGTATCCTGGCATTCTCCGAGTGCTTCAGCGCGGACAGCACCTTTGAAGTAGTAGTAATATTTCTCACTACTTCTTCTACATCTAAGCCAAATGCATCCAGGCCTCTGCCAAATGCATTATGAACTTTATGAAGATTGCAGTTGCCAATATCAATCAAACTTGGTGCCACATGCTTCTGAAGCTTGTTTCTTACGCTCTTCATAACATTAGGACCATCACTGAAAAAGCAAACAAGTCCTTGCTTTGGAGGATCTGCTATTGCTTCTTCTATGCAGCCAACAATTATTTCAGCGGTTGCACGCCCAAGATCAAATGACTGGACATGTTCAACAACACTTCCTGTTGGCTGCTGGAAAAATAGCGTACCAGCACATCTAGTTGCTGCACCCTTAGCTCTGGCTTTGGCGTCTCATCAATCATAATGGAAAAATAGACATTTGGCTGGCACAGCTCAGTCACCACTTGTCCTTTAAAGTAGGGACCCAGTCCATCTGATACAATGCGGGCCAACTTTATTCTGCCGCAACTAAACTTTTTGGCAATGTCACTGTCGGGGAACATGCAGTGATAAATCGAAGTTGCTGTGTCTCCCCATGAAAAAGGAATTCCCTTGGCCACAACAGACAAAGCAAAAGTAGTTTCTGCCTTGCTGACTTGGTGCTCAAGTGATGTATTAGCAGACCCGTTGGAGAAGTCCAGTGTGCCTTGCACCAATTTGGGTGGAAGAAGATTCCCGTCCTTGTCTCTGTGTCTAGCAGCTGCATCAATATGTTTCTTCATTCCAGCACGACGCTTCACTGCTGCCGCTCCATGCTGTGCGCAAAAAATGGTGCAGTTGCAAAGAATACAAAATGCATCTGTATTTCGGGTTCCACTCTTGCACCACTGACTGATCGGATCATTATTGGAGTCCACCTCGTTGAGTACAGAGGCGTTGAACTTGGTGTTGCGATCTGAAAACATGAGCGAAACGAACTTTATGACAGTAAACTTTCCCAAGTTTTTTTTCAGAGCGTGAATATAGGTAAAAGCAACAGGGTAGACAGAAAGAGCACTGGCTTCTAACTTTATATCACAGAGTGGCAAGAATATATATGCCCAAAAAAGGATGATTAAAAACATGACAAAATACAAGCCTAGTCAATGCGTCAGTATAAAAATCTTGCAAATGTGACTACGCACCAACTAGCCCAAGGTTCCACTCTTGTAAATTTTCCCACGACAAAGGCACGCTAGTAAAAAGAGCACGTAATTACTAGATTTATTTTTAGAATAGCCCGTAACATAATGCCAACCTTACTTCATTGGAAGATCTAAATACCAACTCTAAGGCGCCAACACCAAATATTTGCGCAAGCATTTTGGGTACAGCCTCGACAAATGGCGCGAATCGGGATGCCAGTTTGTCTGTCGACCATTCACACCTAAAACTCACGACCAACTTACAGGAAGTTGCCATGCGGATGACGCGTGGGTCTGACAGCCGCAGACAAACGCATTGCCCCAGCTGGCAAGGCGGCATAAGGCGCTAATGTATGTTGGAGGTTTGCTTCCTTCCGGCGCGGCGCGCGATGACCAGAGCAGAAATCGACAGCAATGTTTTCCTTAAATTAAATATTTAAAAAAGCTGATTGGGAACGGCACGTCACGAATAGCGGATTCCCAACGATCGGCAGCCGCTAATGCGGTAACATTACGGTGCTTACTGACTTGCTTGTGTTGACATGGTCGACGCTCAATCACTCTTTTCCGACTATTCTACAAGCAGCTCGCACGGTGGGGCGCCCGATCCGTGACGCGCCGGCAGCACATACGGCCCATCTAGCGATCTGCTAACGTCAACAAAAGCGACCCGCCTGCAGAAATTCGTAGTGTATTCCGCGTCACTCGCTCGTTCGTTTCGCACTATTATATGTTCCGAACAGTAGCATGTAGGAGGTGTAACTGCTGCATGCCGTACGAGCGATTGCGCGTTTCAAATGCGGATATTCCGCACCATGAAACAAGGCACGGCGCACCTTCCTAAGCCTACGTACAGCGCTCGGACACTCCGAACACAAAAACAATCAGTAGCGAGAAATCGCAAGAACTATAGGCAAGTTGCAACTTCTGTACTGATTCAATAGCAAAGTGCGGCCGGTAATAAATGCCAGCAGCGCTACGCGATCGCCTAAGCATTCACTAAAGTATTTCACGGGCGCTATTAAGAATGCCACAAAATTTAAAAAGAAAGCGACTTACTTTTGTCCATTTCAACAGCGGGGGGATGACAACATTCGCTGACTGTTTGTTCACAAGCACAAGGCGCACATGCAACGACACGACGTGCTGTGCATGAGCGCGAAAACCTACAGAAAACACCCGAACGACACCGACGAATACCAAAGCTGCAAAGCACATGGTAAACAATTGCACCTAGAAAAGAATTCACTTGTTGCCAACTGCAAAATGAACATCCGCTAAAGTCGGGTTCTTTCGTGCAATTTGGCGCATTTGGCGCAAACAAAACAACACTTGCGCAGTAAGGCGCAGGAAGGTATAATTGTAGCAAATTGGCGCAAATGGCGCAGCTGGATCACTACTGCATGTGTACGCAAGCATGCCGATAGCTTTGGAGATGACAATATATATTTCTAAGCACAGTCACAGTGAGTTCAGCATGCATTTGAGCATCTAGACGCATGCACACTGACCCTGCTGATGTCCTGGTCATCGATAGTGATGCTACCACTCTGTACGTCATACAGCCGGAACAGCAGCCGCACTATGGTGCTTTTACCCGCTCCGGATGGGCCCACCTGCAAAACACAGAGAGAGGAAAGAGATTCATTCCATGCTGAGCTTGTTAGCCTCACCTGCCCCATTCGCACATTTCAGCCGTTTCTTGAGTGAACCCTATCAGAGTGCTCGGCAGGAATCGCGCATTCTCCCTGTTATTTTCTCTGTGTCCTATTTTCCACGTGCTATGTCTCGCCATGAATCTATACCATCTTGCTCAGTACACTACTTTACTTCAATTACACATAACTCAGAGAGTAATGAATGAGGCCGCATGAATTCAACTCGTACTGCTCTAAAGAACTTTAGCTGTTACTTATTACAAAAATTTCCCACAACACAATCAATTTTACAAGTGATCCGAGAAGGCTCGTACAGAGGATTAATGCCTTATGATCTGGTAACGCTCATTATTGTCTAATGATTGAATCTTCATAGATACATAAATAGTGGCTGATTGAATAAAGGCAAATCTCAAACCACAATGCTGCAAGTTGCGAAAATACGAATCTCAGTACAAAACCATGGACCAGCTGCCGAGGCAGCTGCTACACAGGATGATCGTAAAACATGTAAATATTTATTCTCAGGCTGCTACATACTGTTTATTTTGCCTGAGCATCCACCAAAGTAGCAAACAAATTCAATTCAACTTTATACGCAACTCTCTAAGTGCCATGAGTACATATATATGTACATACATTGTGTAAGCATGTGATGTTGGTAAGGACATGGTTTATTAACATTACCTACTTTAGAAGGCAAGCATTTTGCAAAACAACATTGCCTAATGTCAGTGAAGCTTCAAGGTATGTGACGGTGTGCTTGTAGCAATAATAATGAAGCATAGCAAAGCAGTGCAAGTGAAGCAAGCACGTGAGCTGTAGTAATACACTAATAAGTTCTAGGACTTAAATGCAGCAGCACATTATTTCTTTTCGCCCCAGTAGTGACACTGGATTATGCAATAATCGATTCCAGAAACTTCCATTGGGAACCCAGTCCACATCAAGTCAACAGAACCTCGGCCCACCTATTGCCACCTGGAAAAAACTGCAGGGCACACCTTCCTTGAACTACTGCAGTTCCCTGATATATGGCCTGGAGTCCCAATTATTGGCTTCTCATTATGAAGGATGGTCTCCATCCCGACGGCATCACCTCTCAGCAGCACAAGCATGCAATAATGATAACCATGCTCTGGTGAAGCTTTAGGTTTCATGTGGCAGAAAAACTAAACAAGCAAGTCAGACAGAATTATTACTTAACAGAATTATTGTTTACTTTACCTGATAGATGACACTTATTGCTCAAGTGTGCTCGTTTAGAGCAAGAATTTGGCACCATCGAAAGGTGTGCTTACAGATGAGACAGGTATGAATGGGAAAACTTTACAGCAAAAGGTAATTGAAGTTTGTGCAAACTGTCCCTACATAACTGTGCAAAGCTTTAATTGAAGGCAGCGGGTAGTTGCTGTAACCTTTATGCATTTGGCATTGGTAGCACACTTGGCAAAATCAAAAAAAGGAAACTAAAAAAGAAGTGTGCTTACGAGGGCAACGGTACGACCTGCTGGAACCACAAAGCTGACATTCTTAAGTATTGGCCACCTGCAAAACAAAAGCATTATCGAGTTTAAGAGTTCAGGAGAAGAAATTCAAGGCCACTAGCTCAAAAGCCCACTTTCTGAGTAATTTAGGAGCCACTTTAAATATTATATTTCAGGAAGTATGTCAGGTTAATAAGGATATGAAGATAAGTCGAAGCACACTTTAGCAGCTTAGCAAATTTATGAATCAGGGTTAACAAGTTCTGTATCAGAGAGGGTCCACATTCGTCTGAAGTGAGCCTAACAAAAGTTCAGAAACAAGAAAACGAAAAACAAGATGAAATGATAACAGCTGTACTATCCATTCCTATTTGACCGTGCCATTTTATCAGAAATGGGTAAATAGTAAATTTGAGATTTGAAGCAAATCCAAAACAAACAGTGATTCAGTTTATAATTTTCAATCAAATAGTTTGAATATTATATGTCACACAATACTTCCACGTTCCATTTCCCAAGTTTTGTTATCGTCCCAAAACACTACATGATTCTAAGCGCAAACCGCGCCTGCAGTTTTCGAGAAGCTTTTGGACTGTAGTAGATCATTTCGATAAGATCACGCCCACTTTGCGAACGGTACAGATTATTCTGGAACCTACGCCACTGCCAGCGGTAATGCTAGAACATTCGACGGCAAGAGTACAAATGCCGACGCGCTTCGTCGCTTGTCAGTAGTTGATCGATGGCCGACACTCCGTTCGCCGCTATCAGTTGAAGACTACTACTGTAATCGGATTTTCTGTTTACCGGGCACAGGTTCGCCCAAATAAACAGTTAAATTCCAACGCAAAGTCTCCTGTCTTCGGCCACGTCACGACCCCGTGACATCTTGTAGAGGTGCTGCTTCTTTGGTGTTCCGGACGCCCCTTCAAGCCGTGACCCCAGCCCAAGCGGCAAAGAAGACACGGACGCTAACCCTGAACAGCCAACAAGCCTCAGGCAGAGAGGACTACAACCAGAGTACAAGCCCCTTCCGGAAGCAGCCAGGCAGACTTGGATCTTCACATCAACTACTGCAACCATGACCGCCCCGTGCAGCCTGCACCACTCCTGCTCCGGCAACCCAAAGAGCCGCCAACTTTCCGCGGTTCGCCACTGGAAGACCCGGAAAGCTGGATCGAAAGGTTCGACCGGCATCGCCAGCTTCAATGATGGACAGACGATGACAAGCTCCGGCATGTGTATTTTGCCTTAGAAGATGCTGCTTGGACCTGGTTCGAGAATCAAGAGCGAAGCCTTACAATGTGGGACGTCTTTCGCGCCAGGTTCCTCACTACTTTCGCAAGTGTGGTGCGCAAGGAGAAGGCCGCAGCTCTTCTTGAAACCCGCATGCAGATGCCAAACGAAAACGTGGCGCTATTCATGAAAGATATGATTAAACTTTTCCGCCACGCTGACTCCGACATGTTTGAGGAGAAGAAGGTCCGTTCGCTCATGCGAGGAGTAAAGCAGAAACTCTTCGCTGGGCTGATCAGAAACTCGCCAAAGACGGTCGCCGAATTCATTTCAGAAGCATCTACGATAGAGAAGACACTCGAGATGCGCACGAGGCAATATAACTCTAGCTTCTCGTCTACAAGTTACGCCGGCATTCAAGCGGTTGGAACCACTGACTTGCAGGAGACGATCCGAGCGATGGTGCCAGAAGAGCTGCGAAAATTACTTCCTTCAGCGCAGCCTCACGTGAAATCCATCGCGGACCTCGTACGCCAGGAGATACAGCAATCGCTGGGCGTCTCTCAGCCTCAAGAGCCTCAGCTGCAAGCCATGAACTATGCTGCTGCAGCACGCCGCCACACCCCTCCTCCACGCGCACGCCAAAACACTGCCCCATCGCACTTCCGTCGCCAGACGCCACCGCCGCCACCACCCCCACCGACGTCCTACCGTTTGCCAGCGGCCCAGTGCAGTGCGCCGAGGAAGACTGACATCTGGCGCACCCCTGACCACCGCCCGCTCTGCTACCACTGCGGCGAGGCCGGACACACATACCGCTGTTTCCAGTACCGACAGATGGGACTGCGTGGCTTCCCCGTCAATGCACCACGACCGCAGCCAGGCAAATGGCCACGTGACATTGCCGACTACCTGACAGGAACTCAATGGACACCACGAAGTCCTTCCCGTTCGCTGTCGCCCAGCCGCCGCATGTCACCCCACCCCCGGCAGTAGTCGGGCCCAACGCGGGGCCGGTCTCCTAGCTCGTATCCGGGAAACTAAGGGCGGCAACCGATGGAGGTGCGGTTGCTGTGCGGCGAACTACCGAAGATTCTCCGCCGCCGCCGCCGCAACGGAGCTTTCCGAACACAACGCCAACCAGGCAAAGCCCTGACAGCGAAAGTTCACTTACCGAAGGTGGCCTGACGACGCAACATGGAAGCAGCGGAACAAGCCGACGCAGCCGTGACCCGACGCCACGCCCTAACTGTAACGCTAGACGGCGAACTAGCGACCTCCATGTTCTTATCGACGGCCACAGTGTGACCACTCTCGTCGATACTGGAGCCGACTATTCCGTCATCAGTGGGTCGTTCGCCGTGAAGTTAAACAAAGTTAGGACAGCTTGGAATGGCCCTGAAATCCCCACAGCCGGAGGTCATCTCGTAACGCCTGCAGGAATCTGCATTGCGAGAGTCACCATTAACAGCCCTATTTATCCTACAGACTTCGTTGTCCTACAGCATTGCTCGAGAGATGTCATCCTTGGCATGGACTTCTTATGCCTCCATGGTGCTGTCATCAACCTAAAAACAAAGTCGATGACGTTATCCACTGAAGAAGCACTACCGCCGCGCACTCCATCAGGAAACCATGCCTTGAATGTGCTGGAAGAACAAGTTACCATTTCGCCTCGCTCAAACGTTATTACTTCAGTCGGCGCTCCTAAATCACCTGACTTGGAAGGCATCGTTGAAGGAACACAGCCTCTGTTGGTCACCCGAAATATTTGCGTCGCAAGAGGAATTGCAGAGCTGAGGGGAGGCAAACCAACGGTTATGCTCACGAATTTCAGCAATAAGTACAAACATGTGAACAAAGGAACAACGGTCGCATACATAGAAAAAATTGTCGAAGCCACCAGTGCTTTCGCCCTCGCCGATTCTGCAGAATTTGCTCAGAGGAATCAAGCCCCTCCCATAGCTTTTGACGTCAATCCCAGACTTCCGAACCATAAGCAAGAACAGCTCAAGGCCCTGCTCCTGCAATACGAAGATTGCTTTTCGTCGTCATCAAAAATTCGGCAGACCCCAATCACGAAACATCGCATCATAACCGAAGAAAATGCCAGACCACTCCGTCAGAGTCCATACAGGGTTTCGACGCGAGAACGTGAGACCATGAAGAGACAAGTTGATGAAATGCTGCGGGATGACATTACCCAGCCGTCCAAGAGTCCATGGGCATCCCACGTGGTGTTAGTAAAGAAAAAGGATGGGACCCTACGTTTCTGCGTCGATTATCGCCGCCTGAACAAAATCACAAGAAAGGACGTGTATCCTCTCCCACGAATAGACGACACACTTGATCGGCTCCATAACGCCAAGTACTTTTCGTCAATGGACCTAAAGACTAGCTATTGGCAAATCGAAGTCGATGAAAGAGACCGAGAGAACACGGCGTTTATAACACCGGACGGCCTCTTCGAGTTTAAGGTGATGCCCTTCGGCCTTCGCTCAGCGCCTACAACTTTTCAACGCGTTATAGATACAGTACTGGCAGGATTGAAGTGGCAGACTTGCCTTGTGTACTTGGACGATGTCGTCGTGTTTTCCTCGAGTTTCGACGAGCATCTTCAGCGCCTTGAAGCTGTACTTCAAGCCACCAAGACGTCCGGACTCACATTGAAGCCAGAAAAGTGCAGATTTGCGTATGAGAAGCTCTTGTTCCTGGGGCACGTTATTAGCAAGTCTGGAGTTCGTCCCGATCCACGGAAAACAGCCGCCATCCCCAACTTCCCGCCGCCCACTGACAAGAAGGCGGTGCGCCAATTTTTGGGCCTGTGCGCTTATTATAGGCGGTTCGTGAAAAACTTCGCCCGCATCGCCGATCCTCTCACTAACCTTACCAAGGCCGACGTGGAGTTCAAGTGGGAAACGCCACAGGAACACGCTTTCCAGGAGCTTAAACATCGCCTCCAGATGCCTCCGTTACTTGCCCATTTCGACAAATTTGCCGAGACAGAAATACACACTGACGCAAGCAGCGTAGGTCTTGGCGCCGTTCTTGTGCAGAGGGCTGACAGACTTGAAAGGGTTATTAGTTATGCCAGCCGATCGCTATCCAAAGCAGAAGCCAATTATTCCACAACAAAAAAGGAGTGCCTCGCCATCATCTGAGCTACGTCAAAATTTCGCCCCTACCTCTACAGCAGGCCCTTCAAAGTTGTGAGCGACCACCACGCTTTGTGTTGGCTAGCCACCTTGAAGGACCCTTCAGGTCGTCTCGCACGATGGAGCCTGAGACTTCAAGAATATGACATTACTGTCATTTACAAGTCCGGCAAGAAACACTCCGACGCCGACTGTCTCTCTCGTGCGCCTGTCGACCAACCACTACCCGACGACCCGGATGACGATTCTTTCTTAGGAACGATAACTACCAACGACTTCGCTGAACGACAGCGGGCCGACCCAGAACTTCAGGCCCTAATAGAATACCTCGAAGGCTGGACCGCCGAAGTCTCGAAGGTATTCAAGCGCGCACTTGCGTCATTCTTCTTGAGAAACGGTCTTCTACAAAAGAAAAACTTTTCACCACTTCGAGTTAAGGACCTCCTTGTGGTGCCTTCAGCTCTGCGACCAGAACTCCTGCAGGCCCTGCACAACGATCCGACGGCAGGGCACCTCGGTGTTTCTCGCACGCTCGCGAGGATACAAGAAAGGTACTACTGGCCACGTCTTACCACCGACGTCACTCGTTATGTGAGGACATGCGGGGCTGTCAGCGACGCAAGACACCGCCAACAAGGCCAGCGGGACTTCTGCAGCCGATTGAACCACC